TCAGTTGTAAATGCACTTTCAATACCATCTCTATCTTGTCAGATAAAATTTGTTCTACATCTGACATTTCTTCAATAACATCTTTTGGACATATAGGTAGTCCTTGACTTATGACCATTCAAAATTACGAAGGCACTGAAAAAAGTGACTTATGACTGGTCCTTGAAGTTATGGCCATTGCAGTGTCCCAAAGGTCACGTGATCAAAATTGGCAGCCTGCCCACATTTATGACCACAGGGGTGTTTCAACTCCCCCACCCACCTATCTCTCCCCCCATCTCTGCCCTTTTGGTTGCCCTGCACCCCTGCCTTGCGGGGTGGCAAGCAGCCCCAGAGCCACACAGTTCTAGGGCTGCTTGCCACGCCCCAGGAAGCTGCTGCTGCCCCAGCCCAGTCCCAGTTGCCCTCACCACCTTGCATTCTGAAACCCCTGCTGTCCTGTGCTCTACCGTCCCAGCTGACCTTCACTGTCTTCTTGCTCCTGCTGATGAGGCATGCCTGCCCTGGCCCTTCGCACCAAGAAGCCCCTTTGCATGAAGCCAGCAAAAGCAAGCCCCTTTGCAAGAGTTTCACCAGCGAGTGCTTCCTATATGTGGCTCCCTGAGTCAACACCCGGTGCTTTCCCATTGGGTGAAACCACTTCCTGCCTTCCCCATTGGCTGGCATTCTTATTTGTGCTGCATTGCTGAGCTATTGCCCAGCAGTGTGGCACAAATAAGAATGCCATTATTATTATTAAAACCTAACATAATCCCAAGTGCAGCCTCTGTGCCAGAAGACTGGGAAGAGGCCAATCAAATATTTATCTTTAAAAAAAAAGATGTCTTACCCTATTGGGCAAGGGAAGAGAACCAGAAAATATAGGCCAGCTAATCTAACAGTACAGGACAAATTTTGCTGAAGTAGTTAAATTGTCTTATTCATGTAAATTAACAACAAATACATGCATATGTGGGATCTGATAGACACTGCTTATGATTTTTAAAAATCATTTGATAAAGCCCCTTACTGAAGAGTTCTGAGCAAACTTTCTATAGGGTAGGAGAAGAGAGGTCTTATAGAATGATCAAAGCACAGAAAATAAGAGGTTTCAATAAAAAGACAATTCTTACAATGACTGGTTGTAAGTAGAATGTTTCCAAAGGACACAATTTTTAAATTAACTCATAAATTATATGGAGTTTGGGGTATCCACTGAAGTGACAAACCTAATTATTAGAAGATTCAATCAAAAAGAGATGGTAGGGTGCTGCAAGCATTAGGGACAGGCATTAAATTGGCACATGTGATTCAGTATAAAAAATGTAAAGTAATGCAAATTTTGGCAAAAAACAAAACAAAACCCAATCATAGATGAATTGATGGGATCCAAGATGGGCACTGATCAGGAAAGGGACTGTGAAGTTGTGAATAGCTCAATGAAAACAGCAGTCTTACAGTTGCTAGAAAAAGGCAAATTCCACGTTAGTTATTTGGAAAGAAATCAAGCATTTAATGGCTAATGATGCAATGCCTTCATATAAAACTTGCAGGAAAAAAGCATCAAAATAAAAAGGGATGGATCAATACTCCTTTTTTTGCAAGGTTATAACTTTGGGACTATTAAGCTTAGAAACAAAGTACTGTATACAGAGGCTTGACAGAAATATATAAAATTATATATGGTGCTGATAAACTGGAAAGGGATAATCTTTTCACCTTCTCATAATTCTGAACAGATTATTACTCAAACTGGGTGGTGGGAGTTCACCAAATTGGAAGATTTAAAAGAAGATTAAACAAATTGATGGAGGACAAAAGTTACATTGCCAGCTGCTTAAAAACAATTCAAATTGCAATTGTTACACGTTTTAGATCTTTACTCTTCAGAAGTGTTGTATATATTCAGAACCTACAATTCCAAATAAGAAGATTTAGAAGATTTAAAAATTAAGTTCTTTGAGCAGGATTCTTATTCCAATTTTGCTTTCTGTCATATTTACAAATACACGTTTGGCTTTTGCAAAAAGTCTACAATTCGACTTGGTTAGCACTGCTTTGTGTTGTGGGGGTAACATCTTTAATCTCATTGAGGCACTTGTACTTCTTCTAGCTGGGAGGTGGGGGGTAGGGAATAGAAAGCAAAGATATATGACAGTGGGGGTCATATTACTTCATAAAACAGCTTTGAAGGAGCATTTTTCCCCAAAGCACCATGAAAGTGAAATACCCCTTTGGAGTTTGTACAGCTCTAATAAATATAAATATGATAAAGACTGACACCTTGGTAAGTTACATGTATATGAGGAGCACCGAGTTCATCTTACCACTGATAAGTAAATCATTCATTATCTTCCTTTCAGATGTAAAATATATGTTAAAACATAACTCAGAACATAAAAGTTCTGAGCCTTCATCCTCAGGCGGTTTTCAGTTCTACCCTAAAACAACTTCTCACACAATCATCCTCTATTGAGCTTGTTTATTGGAGTTTCACACAACAGATAAAGGTATTAAATGCCTTTTATAGTTTAGACATGGCAATATATGTTATCAGTGAACTCCTTGAAATGCAGGGTGTTATCCATAGAGTTTTGCATAACATTTCCTCAAGTAGAGTCTGAGCACACAAAGAGGAATGCTGACTTTAAACCTCTAAAATGGGCAATTCTTCAATTATTTCAGCCTCAATCCAATGAGGTCTTTGCTTTCTGTGCTCGGATGACTTCAGCTTCTGCTTCTACCTCATTCAGCAAGACATCTTGGGAGAAAGAATACATGGTGTAGGCATCTGTACATGGAAGCTCAGGAAAATGATTAAAGTATGAATGCTACTTGCCCCTACCAAATAAATCTTCCAGTCATTTCCATCACCAGTCAACAGCCAATGCACTGCAACACTATCCCTGCCCTGAACTGAATGAAAAGGAAAAGACTGGAGAAAATAAGAAAGGTTTGCCATTTGCCTTTCAAAATTTACCTCTCCTAGGAAAAAAAAAATTAACCTTCATGTCAGACGTGCTTTAACAAAGGAATGCAATGCTGATCCCAAACGGGGGAAAAACAGAGCCAATCAGTTTGGATGAGACATCCCAATTAATATCAGGTGTTCTGCATGTACACATGCTGGACCCCAAATAATGGAGAAAGGCCCACTAAAATATAACAAAATACACATTTACATTTCAAAATCCCTCTTACACCCTCAAACAGCCCCCCCCCCCAAATCTTAATGCCAGCAAATTCCAGCTCAAAGCTCTCAGCCACCTGGATCCAGGAAATAGGCTGGAAAGAAGTTAGAGAGCAGTGCATTTTGCTTCCCTAGGAGCCAAAGCACACAAGGAACCCCCCACACACACTTTACACAACTCACTGCGAAAGCCTGTGCTACAACCTGGAGCCTCCCAAAGTTGCTAGACTTCAATTTCCAAAGTGGTGTAGTGGATAAGTGTTGGTTTAGGAGAACGGAAATTCAGGATCCACTGCACCAGGATACTTGAAGGGTAACTGTCAGCCAATCAGTTCTTGTGTTGTTTTAACTGCAAGAATAAAACGAGGGCAAGACAGGGGACCCCACATAGCTATCTTGAGCTCCCCTCCGAAAAGTCCGGGAGAGAACTAGAACAAACAATCCATTTCTAGTAAGTCTGCAGGGTCCAAGGTTCTGTGTGCCAGGACTAGAGAATACAGTAGAAGACAACGTCTGAATTTCCGCCCTCGGCCCTGCTTTTAAACCAGCTTTTGCGGACTTATGAAGACGTGCGCGAACCCCGAGAATTTAAGGTTACTATAAAGCTGTCCGGAGCCCACGGACGCAAACAACGGAAGTGGCTCACCACACGAGTTTCTCTTTCGGGCAGCCATGATACCTCAGATTACCAAAGGATACAGATTCCTACGGCGGCAATTCCTAACCCGAGAGCCAAGACGTTGTTGCGGGTGTTCCTCCCTCGCCTAACCGCCGCCATGCCCGGCCCTGAATTAAACCCAACGGGTGTCATCCTTTGCGGCTTGGCGTTCATAGGCGGCACACGCGAGAATTGCCCTCCTTGTTGCGGCGCCGACATCTCTCCCACGATCTTGGCGAAGAAAGGAAGTGTTCACCTTAAGAAAACAAACGTAGTGCTGAGGAGTGTGCAGCCATCTTTGGTGAGGGCGATGACCCAGACTTGTCACGACAGCAGCCATTTTGAAAAAACCGATCGTTATACTGCTAAAGGTTCTAAAAGTCACGCTTTTTTTTGCCATCTTTGGTGAGGGCAAACGCTAAGAAAAAGGGGAGGAGTGACATTTTGAATTTACAGTCACACAGACGTTTATGGTACGTCGGTGCTTTATTGAGTACTGCTACGGTGAGGATGTGAAAAGAGTTTAACCTCAAATTAATTATGAATCTTTTTTGTGCCCTTCAAAGTGAAGGCTAAAAAGTTGGAGGGGAGCGCAAACAGTTTTTCTTGCCTTGACTAGATATTCAATTTAATCGATATATTCACACACATTCCTGTTGGGTTCAGTATGTGCGATTGCAACTTAACTGTACAATTTAAATATAATTCGTGGTGTCCCGTTAAACAAAGTAGGACCTTTTAAATAAGTCTCTTGTTAATTTTCTGCATGTAAGTATTTAATATGCAAAGTACCTGTAAACTCTTAAAGGCTAAATACAAAGTGACTACAAGAAGAAATACTATAAAGTACAACCAAGTGTAGAGTTACTAAGGGGAAAACTGAATTGACTCCCTGAAGTTATTCACAATCTTCAGGAAGGACTGCAGTGAGGGGGCAAGTTTTTGACCCCTTTCTTCATAAAGACCTGCACTGAAGAGGTAAAGCATCGTTAAGCCTGATGTGGTTCCTTGTTTGCCAACCTGATTTTGCTAGTGGGAATTCAAGCAACAGCTCTAAAGCAGATATAGGCAGAAGTATATGGTAATGCTCTTAAATTCTAGTCCAAAACTATTTAAGGCTTTAAATTGTCATATTAAAATTGTATAACCTGAACTGCCTTTGGTGTCCCAACTGCAAAAGTTGTTACTCAGTTGTAGTTCTTAATACAGTTAAATGTGTGGGCAGTAACATGATGTTTTTAATAAAATTTAAATCAAGGTGTGTTGTTTTTGTTTTTGCTTGATCCCACTCATATCTTTGTTCTGGCCTTATTTATTGAGTATGCCCCTCTCAAAAAGGTGGTACTTCCTTGGCTTACAAGGAATTAATGCAACTGGCACAAACATGTTAAATGTTAAAACTTTCTGGTACCCTTTATCATCTGTGCAACCATATTTTGATCAGCTTAAGTTTCCAGACTCTCTTAAAGATAGGCTTATGTAAAGTATGTTACAAGCCATATCATGGGTGTATCTACTGCTTCAGTATCTGAGGGGCCCTTTTCTTCTCCCTCACACACCAATTAATTTCAATCAGTGATACATTTAGTATTCCCAACTGGAACTTCAAAGAGAGCACAATTTAATATCAGACTAGTTTTACCTCTTAATTTCTAAATTACTTTCTTGGGCCTACCCCTTTCATAAAGTTTATATTGAATTGTATTTAATTTTGATGTTTTAATGCCACTTCAGTTAGGCTGAAACTAAGCAGTTTACAGGAAAAGCATCAACATGTAAAACATCAATCGATAACATCTTAATAGGATAAATTCCACTGTATCTTCATTGATCCATAATTATATTCCTTATTAGTAGAAACAGAGTTGGAAGGGACCACAGAAGTCAATTAGTTTAATGCTGAATTACTATTTTTTCAGAGTATTAACAATACTTTTAGGATGGGCTTACCTGCACAGGTAGCAGCCCGATACCAGTATTCAGAACCTGTCTTTGGAGTAGTGACTCCTGGAATTATCCAAGATACTTTGCTTCACATGGCTATGGAGAATGAGCAGTATTTGAGTAAGCTGTGTAACGAGGCAGGCTGCTTCAAAGACACACAGATAGTAGGTAAGAATTGGCCTTAACAAACTCTCTAGACCAAGATGAAATTCTGAAAACCATTCTAGAGGACCCTCTAACTGATCATTTCTCCTGTGTCTCTCTGCCAGAATTTGTTTTTCTTTTAGCTGAAAAATGGAGCCTAACTGAATCTGCAGCATATCAAGCAATAGAAATATTTGAAAGGTATTTCTTTATTTTCTCTGACTGATGATATTAGGATGGAACAGTTAATTCATGTGCTTACCAGGGAATAAGTAACACTAATTCTCTGGGATTTACTTCTAAGTAGATGTGCTTAAAGTTGCACTGTCTTTTCCTGTAACTTATACCTTTACCATTTTAAAGATGTAATTAGATCAGTCAAGTCACCAGCTTTAACCTACAAATATATAGACTAAAGTATATATGCTTCCTTTTTAAAACCTCAAAGGATTGTTTTCTATGGGGAATACTTTAGCTACAGGTATAAATCCAGAGGTCTTTAATGAAAGAGCTGCTTTGAGTAGTAAAAGCCCAAAGTCAATCAGAGGTGAAGTTTGTGGATACCACTAAAAATGCATTCAATCTACAAACATAATCTCACATGCAGTTTAAATTATAAGGCAGTAACATCTAAGGATTGTTTTGTTTTGTTTTACTTCCTTGCTTCTTTCCCATCTCCTGCTTTTTATAAAATCTTGCCTGGAGATTAAGTCTGGAGTATTCATATTGCATTTTTGTGCCATTTTAGTTGTCTCAGTTAATATCCAACTATGAACATACTGCACCATGAGGTCTGAAATCTCAGGAAAAACATAATGGGGCAATTTGATTCTTGGGGAGCTGATGAAGGCCCTATAGTTTATTCTACCTGTTTCACACACTGAGTCATGATCTTTAGAATAGCTTTTGCTCCCTAAAATCAATGTGGGTACATGACTTTGATACTTGTTTCTCTAAACCATAAAGCAAATTTCTATTTAGCACCAGCTCTGCTTTGTTTCTCTAAATGTATTATCTACTCTTTTGTAATTTTAGGTTTATGCTCAAACTTTTAGAAGAGTTCTCTAATTTCACCCCAGGAGAGGGGGAAGATAGCAGCTGGGCCTCACTGAAAGAACACGTGGAGGGCACATATGTGTTGCGTTTAGTCTCTTGCATCCAGCTTGCCAGCAAGCTTTCTTTCCATTACAGTGTAAGGAGATTCAAGATTTGCCTTGTGTAACTTTCATTCAAGCTCTCTTCGTGTGCCATATTGTGGACTTTCTCTATGACAGAAGAAGGACTGTTAAATGCATGTGTGCGTTTGGGAACAATATGATTGTTCCTTGCTAGACAATCTGATCAGAAAACAAAAATAGAAGTTATAAATTGCAAAGCAATGGTGTCTTTTTATAAATAGCTGGGGTAGATGAGATTAATAGTACTGAAGTAGCTTTATGAGATACATGGAGTTGGCTTTCATAATGATGAACTATGAGCAGCAGAAGCAAAAATGTTAAGTGTGCAGCCTCTTAGTATCATATTATGAGCATTTTGGGTTAAAAAAAACAACATACACTTCAGGATAGCATCACAGCCCAATATACCGGATCATAGTATACTACAGCAAAGCAAAATTGGCATTTTGGATGTAATGTTCATACTTCTTTTACACAGATTGTTAATAACAATATGGTTCTGAAGTTTCTGAAGTCTTTGGGTTTCTCCTATACAACAGAAGAACTATTAGAATCAGAACTGGCTATTTTGAAGGCTCTGCATTTTCAAGTCAATGTTCCAATTCCACTTGCCTATGTTGAAATTCTCCTGGAAGTTTTAGGTAAATGCAAGAAACAAGATACTCTGTCAAACAGCTTTGCCCTGCAAGTAAAAGAATGGTAATGATGTCTGTCTATCCCTCTTCACTGAGTAGCAAGATGCCACATTTAAGTTGGTTGTCTATTTCCTAGGCTCTACAGTAGGTGGCAGCACTTAGCCACCTTTTGCTGATCTTGGAAAAAACCCTAAGCAGGGTCACATCTGGTTAGTACTTGGATCACGGATCCCAAGACAGTAGGGTAGGCTGAGAATTTACAGAACATCCCAGGTGAAGGTAGCGGCCACCCACTTTCTCATTGTTGCCAATGAAGCTACAGGGACATGCCCATGTTGTTCTTAGGAGTCCTGCTTTTTCTTTGTTTGTTTTTTTTTACTCCATTTGGTTAGAAAGCAAAATGTTTCAATAAAATGAGCTCTGGATCAATGATCATTTTCACTCTTTAAGGAGTCACTGTCAATCAGATATAGTGAAGTTTTGTGGGTCCTTACAGATTATATGACATAATACATTGTAGTTAGTTTAAACTTGCTTACTCCTATCCCCCCACATTGATCACTGACATGCCCATCACTTCTTTTTAAATTTATTATTATTATTTTCACTGCTCTCCTTTTCTCTTGTAAAATTTTATCTAGGGAGTTTTTGTTTTTGTTTTTGAAAGGGGACTTTATAGAAGCTAAGTACTGAAACAGGCAGAAAGGAGGAAGAAAAAATGACAAATGTATCAGTGGCTCACAAGATACTAAGATAAAGAAGATAGATTCTCACTCCATATAGAAATTCACTCTCTTTCCTGCAGCATCTAATCCTTGGTGGTTGTTGTTTTTCCCCCCCAATACTAGGATACAATGGCTACTTGCTTCCCACAAAAGAACTGCATGAAATGTGCAAACATGTATTGAGTTTATCATATCTCTTGCGGAACGATATTTATGACACCTTGCTGAAGTCTTCAATAGAAAACTCTTCTCCAAGTGAACTTCAGCTGTAAGTTCTGGAAAGAAGCGAGCTAGCAATAAATGTGTGCTGTAAAGGGAAGACAAATGTTGGAGTTGTGCATATTGAAGTACTGTAGTAGTAAGTGGAGAAATAACTATAGACCAAGAAAATTTGGGTCAGTTTTCCACTAGCAAATATTAACAAAGACATGTTTGTAAGCAGTGCTGTCCTGATAGAATCTAGCTTCACTGTGCTGACACTGTTCTGATTTCTCTTCAGGTCATATTAATATTTCCTTCTGCAAAATGTTCAAATATGGGCAGCTCCCAGCTTAAGACAACCTTTTATTTGGATGGGGCAGTTTTGAACCTTAAATATATCTCGATATTCCCTATGATGAGTTACTGCAATATGAGCTGGAGGAATTGCTAGGAAGATATACTGTAGTTAGAATTGATTTTAGAGACTACTGGGATGGGCAACTGTTGCCTAAAATTAAAACTATAGAATTGAAAAATGGCTTCCAAAGCCATTACACTGAAGAAACATTTCTCTCTAGATATCTGTGTTTTAATCATGTCTATGCTGCTCTTCAGAATAAATATTCTCAGGGCAGCTGATACACAAAACATATGAATATGATTCCAATATTCCATAAGAAAATATGCTCAAGCCCACAGCTTGAGTCTGCCGGAACAGATAGCAAAGTGCTCCTCAGTATTCCAGAAGTTGTTAAAAGGAGTTGCTTTTGAGACTGCTTGATCTAATTGATATAAGTAGTTTGAAAATGTCTTACTAAAGAGATGCATGGTGATCCTCTGTTGCAGGTCCTATTTGGATTCATTAGGGTGAACTTTTAGATAGAGACTATTTCACTTTGGATCATTTTACTTGCCTTTTAATATTTCAAATAACCTTTTAAGTGTTAGAATCCAGGGTTGGCTTTTTTTCATTATTACAATGTTTCATTGGTTTCACAAATTTGCATGTTTTCTCACAGAAATACTTTGGTTCCCGAGCATTGCATTTCCAGCAACATTAACACAATGTATTGAGATTGAAAAAATACAATTTTTCCCCGTGGTGATAAGGTTGTTGGCACTTTGCTATATAATTACCATAGACAGCATTGGATATTGCTAATGTTTATTTTTTGAAAGATGAAAACAAACTCATCTCTTCATTATTACCTGCCAGTAGAACACAACAGAACTCAGTACTGTTGCCTGATACATTCAATCTAATAGGAGAAATGCAGCAGAAAATATAATTTTCTTTTACTCTATGGACAGTATTACAGCAACCCCCACTCTCAGAACTATGTTGCTGTGTTGGAGAATAGCTCCTTCTTTTGGCTTTGTAATGAATATTTATTGCTCTAACTTTACATATAAATTGGAGACAATCTGAATTGATACTGCTATGTTGTAGGGAATTTTTCAATCACAAAAGCAGATAATTGAATTGGCCATTTTATGACATTTAAGCAACACCTATTTACCTAAGAATGGGCTCCACTGATCACAATGGAATTTGTGGGGAAGATGCTGCTAAACTGCTTTAATGATATTACAGGCATTCTAACCATCATAAGCAGAAGTCTTCAGAATGTATCTTTTAATTCAAAAAGCCAGTGAATGTAACAGACAAATGTTTTAAAAAGAATCAAATGTTTAATCATATTGGTTTGATGTATCTAAATAGGTTTTTACTTTTGAATGTATAGCATTATTACTATTGCTGGAATACAGTCCTTGTTCAACTTGTCATTTCCATTTCATAGAGCCAAATTTGTGTCCGTAAAGGAAGACCTCATGCTACTAGCTGTAGGAGTAATTGGCGCAAGTTCTTTCCTGCTAAACCATGAAGACTGGAATCAGGTATGTGCAGCTTATCACTCAGTCCATTCATGGAGTGAATCCAGAGATTTTTTTTTTCTCCTACAGTGGCTTGCTACCTATAAGAATCCCAGTGCTTATAGGTAACCAGCCACCGTATCAATCTAAACTTTTTTTCTTTCTTTTGAAAGGTTACGAAGTACCTCAGTGGCACTACAGGCATCAGTCCGCAGAGCATTACTGAGGCAGTCTATGCAATTCTGAAGCACAGCCTTGGTAGAACAGAAGAAGGTTGCTAGAATCCCCTCATTCTTCTGAAGCTGAAGAGCCTGCTTATCAAGTAGTGTACTGTAGTATTTGACACAGAGATAGAATTCTTAAGCAGATAACTACTAAAGAAGACACTACTCATCCCCATACATTTCAATAGTTTAATGGATATCTCACAGGTTTTGTTATCTTAATCCTTTAAGAGGCAGCGAGATTTAAAAGAAAGGTACCTTGTCCATGACTAGGGCATCAGAACCATTTACAGCAGTCTTGCATAACCATTACATTGCAAGGAATTATAGCAGCTTAAGACAGACATTAGATGTATGGATTATAGAGATATGAGAAATGTTACATGTAAAAGCTTTTCCAAAGCAGAAGCCTTAGCACTGACAGGTAAATGCATCTGAGAAAAAATACATTAAAGTGCTACCCTCCCTAGCACTGATAAATAAATACGTTCTGAAAAACAAAATCAGTGTATTTATTTTGTATTTCCTAGCTTAGTGCAATAATGAAGTTGCAATAGCTTCATAACTAAGCAGAGTCTCTACCTCTAATATTGTCTCCTTTTTTTGCCCTATAGGAGAAAATACATCATGATTTTTTCCCAAACAGCAATGGTGTGCTTTATCTACATGTTATCTAAACTATGCTATGAAGCTTTTTGCTTCATTCCACTTTATAATGAAATGTCAAAGCTGTAGATTTTTCTTCTTCTAAGATGATGTATGGCTGCCACAGGCCAAGTCCTGCTTTCGGCATCATTCAGTCAGGCTGCTGGATTCTTTCTCCTTCATAATTGTCATTTATTATAGAATTGGGAAGAAACCCAAGCTAGACCCCATTTCAGGTTTGTCAGCATGAACTTGAGCGCTTTTGTCCATTGTTCCTCTGAGTTAAACTGGGTTTTAATGGAATAGGACCCACCGTTTCCACCTGTATCTTCAATCTTGCCCTTTTCCACATCCATTCTGTGGAAAAACAGATCCTATCAGGCACTGAAATTTCTGGCAGTATTCCAGTACTGTTTCAACAGTAGCCACCTATCCGAGACAATCTCACTCCAAGACCACTAAATATGGTAGCTTGTTAGGGCATCAGGACTTTAAAGAACCACGATAATTCAGCTATTGTTATATTGTGTTAAAAACAGAAAAGCAAAACTTCTGATATACGTGAGATACCTTGAAATTAATAGCATCTAATGCAATTACAGTGGGACCTCAGGTCACGAACACTTCTGTTCATGAACAATTCGGTTCACGAACAGCACCGTTCACAAAATTTTGCTTCCGTTCGCGAACTCCACATCGGGTGACGAACAGGATCCGCGGCCATTTTCCCTGCTGTGACACATGGTCGTGGGCTCCTGTAGGGAGGGGGACTCTCCAAACAATAACTGCCTCCCCACCTGCCTTCCTGTCCTCCACGCCAGAAGTCGCCTCGAGCAAGGTTAGCGTTCTCTCTCTTCATATGTACTGTACTGTACTTTGTTTCATATTTTTGTGGTTTAAAAAAAAAACATGGTTCAGAACGGATTAACCGTATTTACATTGAACCTTGTGGGAAAATTTGATTCGGGTCGTGATCAGAATCGCAGAACGAATTAAATTCGTGACCCGAGATACCACTGTATATACATACTTTAGTAAGAGCTACATAATTTAGATTAACCAGACAGAATTTAAATGTTTCTGGGAAAAAGAAACCTATCTATTTTCTGAACCATTGACATTTACCTGTAAGGTAAACAGAAACGTGTCTCGCCCTTTTCTACTTCCTCTTTGAACTGTTGTACACAGTCTAGAAATGCCACCATTGCATGGTCAAATTTGTTGTCCCAGAAGAATCGCAAGCCTCCTGAACAGTAGAGAGGCAACTCCTTGAAGACATAAATGCAGATATTAGAAACACAAGGAATTGCCCTACAGTTTTACAATACTTTTGATGAAGCTGCTTTGCCTTTTTAGTCAATAAAATGTATCCATTATATCTTAGGTAGCATAAATCAGCTTTTTGTTTATTACTGCTCCCCTAAACCAAGTCCAGGATACAGGAAACAAGAAGATAAAGAGAGCTACTGTTACGTTGTTGCTTAACAAATTTCTCCCCAAACTTAGCCTCTTTCTTTTGTTAGAAAGAAAGTGTTTTTTCAGTGAGCATCTAGGGCACTTTAAAATACAAATAAATAGCAGCGCCTGCTCCCTTATGGGATTCAGGTTCACTGATTTTTCACTCAATTTCTAAACCAACTATAAGAAAATAAATCCTAATGAAAATATCCTTTTGATCTGAGATGGGGAACTATGGACTATTCAGATTTTCTTCCTACTATAGTTTGGCCACGAGGAGAATGAATGACCACTCCCCACCTGGAAAATACGAATCTGTCAGACAAGTTGGCCAGATGGAGCCTACCTTATCATTCATTCATTACATTTGTGTCTCTTGCATGGCTGGAGTTGATGCCCAGTCCAAAACGTCTAGAGGGCACTAGGCAGTCTACCCCAGGGTAAAAAAAATATATATATATGGCTATTTCATTAGCCTAAAAAATGTTATCAGCTAAATCATTCTATATTATTTTATTTATTTAGCATCCCATTTTCCCATCAACAAATACTACTCAGGGAGGCAAAATATTTCAACATGTTGAAAGTGGAATAACCAAACCATGCTTATAAACTTGGGGCAACCTAGATTTTTTTAGAATTCACCATATAAAGAATTCCTCAAAATTGCCTTCATCAAATTTTCTAGAGGCTGTCCTGAACTGACTAGTCTCTTCTGAGTCTTAAATAGATACAGCACTTTAGAAATCCAAAATGAAAGAGAGGGATTCTAGGAAGCCAAAATGTGAGAACATCTCTTACCTTGGATTTGTCTGTAAGAGACTCTAAATAAGAGTGATTTCCATACGGAATAAGGCGGTACCTGCAAGAGAAAGCCACTTAAGAATCATTTGACTAAAAAGTGTGGTATAACCTTCTAAACCAGCAAATAAGTTAAATAATCTTGCCATTCCTATGGCTGACAAAGGGAGGGGTGGCTTGTTGTCTCCATATCTACCTTTGAAAGATCAGGCCCATCTTGTTGGCAAGGGCATGAAGCAGCAGAACGGTCTGCCCCCAGGCTGCGTTGATCTCATTCCATTCCACAGGGACGCTTGGGAGGCGGCCTAGACGAAAGTTGTTTATTGTGCCAAACTGCCCGCTATGCCTATGCAAGAAGAAGTCTAATCAGCTAGCTTCTGAGGGAATAAGAAATATCTTAAGAGTACAAGGAAGTCTTCTTCGAGCAGTTTTTGGACAATTATCCAAAACTAAAGTGATTTTCCAAAAAACAAACACCAAGATCCATAGCTTTTATGAACATCTGTCTGTAGCACAGGAAGTCAGCCTGGTGTTCCCCAGATTATTTAAAGTTTAACTCTGTGAGCCCCAGTCAGTTTGGCAAAGGACTGTGGAACTTTAAAACAAGGATGGAAGGCTCTTGGACAAGATCCCTTTGTGAAGTATTACTAATTTGTTATCATCGAAAAATACTACAGAGAGTACCCCCCCCAAAAAGGGGGGATAACATCTTCATTAAAGAACTTATTTATTCATGGTGAGTGGCCCAAGGCTCTCAAGGAAGAGCTGCTACTTAAAAAGTGGAAAATAAGAATCCAACCAAGACTGAATAAACTGAAGACACAGTATTCAGTTAGACTTCTACAACAAGCTTAAATTGAAACTGTCATACTCTCTCTAATACTGACCAGAATCATCTGGATTTCCAAACCTTGCAGAGCCTGAATGACCAAATATGGGCACTGTATGTATACAACAACTTAAATGCATTTTCCTCCATCCAGATTCAACTACTGATACTCCACTACATTTCTGCCCACCCGCACCCCAATCTATCCAAACTCCTTGTCTTACCAGATATGGAAAGTAGCATTGAATACGTTGGTTTTCTTTAGCTTATCCAGCTGCATTTGGGCATAACGCATTTGATTATCAACACTTTTCAGTTCATCATCCAGTTCTAGTTGCTGCCGCTTGAATTCACTGTATTCCTTCTGATACCTCCAGGAAGCATCAAGGGAACAAAGTTATTTCTCTGTGAGGACACTGTCCCTCCCTAAAATCATTAAAGATTCGGCACATGGAACAGTGCTGGATCCAAAAAAACAAATTCTTAGGAGGGAGAAAAGGATAGGCTTCAAAAATGATCAGATGAATTAGAAATCAACTTCATGAGAATTAATTTGGATAGAAAAACATAGTTCCTATTTAGGGCTAGACAGCTGGCATAAAAACAGGTGGCTTATCTATGAACAGCACACTGTACTTCTTTCCTAACTGATTTATGAAGCTATATTTAATTTCTCTGAGCTTTACTATCAAGTACTTAACATAGCTAGAGTAAGTGAGCTATAAGGGTATTAAAGCTAATGTGAAAAATAAAAGGGATATGTCTGAAAGGGATAAGGAGAAAACAAAGTGCAACAGAGATGTGGTAAGCAACAGCTAGGAAAGCAGCATTAAAAAAAAGGGAAGATGTTTACCACAGGCAGAAAGAAAAAAATGGGGGGGGGGAAGCCACCAGTAAATATGAGAACTTGGCTATGAACTTCAACAACATATCTATCCAGAAAAATACAAGTTGGGAATATTGTTAGTAGCAAGACTTCGCACTCACTCAGCTTCCTCCTGATCCAGCCTCTCAGCCTCAGTTTTAACCTTCTCAAAATCTTCAGCCATTGCCTTGCGCTTTTGCTCTACTTCCTCCAACTCCTCAATCAGCCTCTCTTCCTCAAGAGCAAATTCCTTCAGTTCCAACTGCAATTTCTCCTTGTCATCTTCAGTCATTTGCTCCAGGATTTCAAGGCATTTCCTGCAAAGAACACCCATTCATAAGTGACTTCATGGGGTGGCAATGAGCCATGCTGAACACTCAAACCCCACTTTCTTTCAGAATAATGCACCCTGAAACCCAGCCGGTTGCCTCTGAGTATCAAATGTGTGTACCTGTAGTTCATTCTATTTTAAAATAGAAATTGAATTGCCACAGCTTGAGTACATACATGAGACAAGCACACGGTACCTTCTTCATTGAAAATTATTTCAGTGAACAAAGGTAGAATTATGTTTCTTTATTCTGTCAACAAGATAGTGTAGCACTTCTGATATCTATTCTTACTCACTTATAGTTCTGGCATTCATTCTCTGTGATATTGAGCTGTGTGTCTAACTGGTCCAGAAGTGTATCAGTGCATTCTTCACATAGAGGATGATCCACATCTGTTTGGCCAGACATGATGTCAAACAGATCTCCAGTGACCTGGAAGGAAAGAGGAGTTCATTTTAGTAAGGGAAAGAGAAGATACTTCCACAGTTTGTTAAATGAGACAGCAAGTTTCTGTCAAGCAAAACTGTTATTTGTTAGAGCTTTGTCTTGATAAAAAACAAAAACAAGTTTAAAATCATTGCCTTCTGTTCTCCCAAACAATCACTCTTTTCTATGGATTCCCTAAAAGTTGCACAGTACACTCAAGAATAGAAAACAACTTGCCTTGAGTCTTCTGCTGAGATTTTCCATGGTGCCTCCATCAGAGGCCTCTCCAATCAGAGTGAAACTGTTGGCACTTTCTGTTGACATCATCCTGAAAATGCAGCATGATTTTATAAGAGGCATTTTCATGGATTTTCACCAAAAATTCTGACATAAAGCCATAACAGTTTATTTTTTGTCCCATAACCTACTTCCAATTCCTAAATAGTAAATGGTTTTTGTTCTATATACTATATTGAGTACAGAATCTTCAATTTGCAGCCTGAAGCTGCAAGAAAAAAACGCATGAGATGTAAGAAACAGACAGCACAGTTCAAAAGAACAAAGAAGTCTTTGGATCCATTGTACCAGAGAATCACTTGGATTCCATTTAAAAGCCTCTTAGGAAACTATTGCCTTCTTCATTAGAATATACATTAGCTAGTTTATGCAAGTTATCAAGAAACAGGGCCACCTAAACCACCTTTGTAGAATGGTTGCTCTGATCTGCAGGAAAAAAATGGTCAGGAATGAATATATTACTCCTATGGCAGGAATAACAGAGGGATAATTCAGTCTCATTATTATGAGGGGCAAACACAACAAGCTCTTTAAACAATTCCAACCAAACAAACTAGCCTTCCTCAACTTACTGGCTTCCTTATGTTGGACCAACTCCCATAATTCCCAGACTGTTACAAAATTCCTTCTGAAAACTGTTGTCCTATAATAGAGGACCCAATTCAAAATGAACTATTCCCTTTCAGAGAAAGGACACAAGAACTAAAGTACATTTTGCCTTCATCTCCTATAAGTAGGGAGAATTCTTGCTTCTTTTATTATCTTTTGCTCTAGATAACAACATATAGCATTCTTGCTTTACTTGGTAGCTGTGTGTGTGTGTGTATGTGTGTGTGTGTGTATGTATGGAAGGCCCTCCCCCCAAATTAAAATGCAACAGTCTCAGAAAGACTTCAGAGTCACAGTTCGATCAAAATTTCCACCCTCTTAAAGGAGGCACTCACTGCAAATGTACTGGCACAGAGAACATAATATTCAATACCTGGCTGGGGGAATGAATCTTCGGGACACACCATCCTGACGGTTTTCAACAAACACTTCCTAAAACGAAATTTAGCATTAGCATCTTGTGATTCCTCACCAAAGAGAGCTAAATGCACTAGCCCATAAAAAGCTTTTAATAACCTACACTTAAATAAGTTTATGCATTACAAGGAAGATTAAACATCAGGTTTTGCAGAATAAATACCAAGAAAGTAACAATTCCTAATTTTGGCTGGTGTCTAACTTCTAAAGCTGCCTTGCGTTTAATTTAGAATCAGATGCTAACTCTTTACCTCTGTCAAAGTGGTCTCTTCCTCCTGTGCATCACCCAGTTTTGCTGGAGCAGTAGTAAGCAGAGGAGCTAGATAAAAGACAAACAATTACCAAAGAAAAATACAAAGATTTGCATGTAATGCTAAAATCCAACAGAAAACTTACTATATCTGTCCATAATACTTTCCCTTTGAGCTCGTTTCCCAATTCCAAGGACAGGCTCTGCAACACAGCTTAAGATCTGAGAACTGCCTCAGATTAAGCTCTGCTGAAATCCATCATAACAACACTATATTATTGGAAATTCCCAGCAACATTATATTGTACTTCCATTGGATTGTCTCAGCAACTGACAAGTATTTGCACGCACAATGTGGAGTTTGTGACTCACACTGGCTTTCTGCACATTTTTTTTTACCTGTCAATTCTTGGATGGTGACTTTGTCAAGAACTTTGAAAGATGTGTCCAATTTAAGGGGCTGGCTACAACGCTGGCAAACAAAGCTGACCTGCATGGTGCAAGCAGGTGACTTATACCCATCCATACCTGTGAAGATAGAAAGACAGTCACTGATCCCGGAAGCTAAGTACAATGCTTCTAACATTTTGTAGGTGGGTATAACATTTTATATTTGCTATCCAGTTTATGTTTTCTATCTATGTAGTTTTATTATACAGGAGTGGTTACTATTGCCATGCAGCATGAATTGATGCCTCTGCCATTGTCACTAAAGTGATCATCTCCCTCCAGCATCTTCCTGTATTGCTGCTGCCCAATAAAATAACATCATCAAGGAAAACGTTTATCTATGCTGATAATCTATGCTGAGAGTCAACATCAACTTGATGACACATATTGAATCAATCCAAGTAATATGGCTTAGCACCACCATTTCAGCTATAACCCCCAGGGAAATCAGCCAGATGTTCTGATACTAAGTATCTTCAGGAAACAGGAACTGTCCAAACTAGGCTCTACTAATCGAAAAAGCAACCAGGTGTCAGCTCAGTCCTAAACATGTGGTTGGAAAGTGCACTAATCCATGGAACAATATGCTTGTTCATCTTTGAGGTAATGCACAATCTATTCTGCTGCAGCTACTCCTCCAGGAATGAAGGCACTTACTTCCTATGCACAGGACGCATCTGACAGCTTTAATTTCCTTCTCCTGGCCCAGTTTAGACTGAAGCTGGTGGACAAATTATGGCTAGGAATACAAAAAAGTAAACCCCAATGACCTTAGCTGGCATCTACCTTGATTTTATCTTAAATGCCTCCGTCGTTCTCACCTACCTCACCGTCCGACAATGAGCTAGTGTGTTTGCTAAGTGCCCACAACCAGGTTCTCTGACGATACGCGGGATACACAAGCGATATGCATTTAATTTAAAGAGTTTTCCCAGGAACGAACGAAAGCGATCGGCAAAAATCACCGCCAGGCCACCTCTCCCTCCCAGCAAACACCCGGCCCGGCTTCCTCTTCCCCCGAGAGCCCCTTCCCAAGCAACCCCGCCGCCTCTCAAAACTGGCTTCGCAGAAAGTTTTCTCTTCCGGAGAAATCGCACTCCGTGGTCACGCCCGTGGGAGGGGCAGAAACGGGACCGCCTCCTCGCTCCCCTCGGCATCAGAGAGGCGGCTCGGGCCGCCTCGGTGCAGCTGGACCGGGAGCGCTATTGGCAGAGAGTCGCCTCGGCGATGTTTTCTTGTATGCGTGACACGTAACATTTTAGTAGAAACGCAACCCGCCATCCCCATGTTCCCAGTCGAGGGGAAGCCCGTGGTCTGGGGCGCCGTTCCTGTTGGGGCTGCAAACATCTGGCTGGCTCTTTGCTGCCATCTAGTGGCCATACAGATGTTAGTAGCCCTACCATACTTCAGTTTAAAGGCAATAATCAAAAAGAAAACCATGGAAGTTAGGCCATCTCTTGGGAGCAGACGATACTACAGAACACCCGGGTAGAGAAGGAAATAAAACCTAGAATTTTAGACAGCGGAAGATAACCTCTAAGGCCATCCAGATGTTGTTGGAAAAAAGTCACTTTGGACGCGAACTACCCTCAACTTTTTATTTCTATGCTGATTGGTTTCACGTCTCCGCTCATTTGTACCAAGCTCCTCCCACCACCAACCGGAAGTTGTTTCTTCAGCGCATGAGCAGAGCACCGGATAAGGCCCGTCCGACAAAGGCACAAGGAGAAATCACGTTGGCTATAATCGTGTTCGGTGATTGGCCAAAAGAGGGAGGTGGCGGGTCGTTATGTTGTCACTTCCGGCGGTAGCGAAGCCGGTGGTTTTCTCGGGTGGTCGCGCGCGCGTGATAGAAGGGAACGGATCTGGCTAGGGATACCGGCTTCCCCGCCCCGCTATGGCCTCCCTGCTCAAGGTGGACCCGGAAGTTAAGATCAAGGTATGGGAGGAGGGGAAAATTTGAATAAAGCCGCCGCGGGCGTGCCTTTAGGCATGTGCAGAGTGCTACAGAAGATCGAGGGAGGGGTCCCAGGCAAGCTTCAGTCGCGGAACTCTTTTTGCCAGTCAAACGTGATAAAAGTATAGTTATTGTACAGCGCGAAACCACAGGTCCGTTGAACCCTACACGCTTGGCTGTGTCTGTGTCAAGTGCTCTGCAGTTGGGAAGCTTGTAAGGTGTTACTGGCCTTTCACTCGTGCCCCAGTCTTATAATCGAACCGAAATCGCTTCTAGTCGTGCAAGTTGTAGCCAAGTAATCGTGACAGGCTTCTCTTTATTCTTACTGTGGGCGTTAAAACCCGCGAAGGCCAGCAACCCTTGCAGCTTCCCTTGGCAATAAAAGCTAGATGGTTGTGTGAGAATATAACATCTTTCTCTCTGGCCAGATGACTGAATTCCACAAAAAATCGTATGTTTCGTGCATTTCCTGAATGAGATATTTATTATTTGCCTTGTAAAACACACCAATTTATATTACTTAAGAACGTAACTCAGGATTCTTAGTCATTCAGCCGGCATGCTTCTTGAGGTGGTTAGAATGTATAACTTTATGGGAATAATTTTGACTTTAATCAATTTTATGTGGGTTTCCATATTCTTCTACAAAGACAGTACAAGATAACTTACTGTTTTATTTGAATACCGCATATGTAAAGCTTTTTAAAAACATTGATAGTTATTGGGTAAAGCTGTTCTCCATTTGATATGGAGATTATGGTTCTATATGTTTTTTTCACTGTGTCTGATTGTGTGAAATAGGATTAGTTTCAAGTAAATGAGTATAGGATTGCATTTAAAAGATCAGTGTCATCATTCAGTATGTCTGGTAAGCATAATCAGTTTAAAGAAATAAACAATAAAATATAATTACAAAATAATTGTGAATAATTGCCAAAGAAATAAAAATGTGACTCTGCAACAGTCACAGAGCAAATTGTGTCTATTTCAAAAGTAAATTCCGATAAATGGGGCTACCAATGAAAGATTTACACAAAATAGTAATTATGAGAAATATATATTTATAATTTTTTGCTTCAGAAGTTGCATAAAATAGAATGGATTCCTTTTTTGTGGCTGTATTAAAACAGCAGACTTTAGGCCAATTTGGCTGGTGGTATTGGGTTCATATTTTAAGAAATGAGGGATGTACATTTAATGTTAATTATGAATGCAGTTTTTCATGTTCCATTTACAATTCAGTCCTAAAGATCTGCTCAGAAGTAAGGCTAGTAGAATTCAATGAACCTTACTGTCAGATAATTGGATAGGGATGAATCTGAACCTGATTATTTTCTGAGAAATGTTTAATGTAACTGTTTTGTGGAGGTTTTTTAAAATAAAATTAAGAATGTTACAATTTATTTAGCGTTCATAACTTTTAGTCCTCTTTTGTCCTACCTGAGTAATTTTTACTTTATTTATATTATATGTCACATTAATATAATGCATTTCAATATTCAGGATGATTTTAATGCATTTTGAAGAATATTAACATTTTTGTTTATTTCTATTCAGCAATAAAATTAATACTGGCTTTCTAAAAGTCATTCCAAACTAAATATTTTGCTATCAATAGTACAGTAGGAAGTTGTACAATTTGTACTGCATCCTCTATATCCCTCACTATATTTTTCAATTTTTTATGATGTAGTTTTTTTTTATGCAAAGTGCCTTATTCAGTGCGCACATTATAGCTGGTTAGAACAGAAGCCTTAACCAATCCTGTTTGTTGTTTCTCACTTAGTTATGGGGACTTCTTTTAAAATGTTTGATTTGGGATTTACCTATTTTAAAAAGTTTGATTTAGGATTTACTTACTTTTTAGTAGAAGTTTAACAACTGTAGGGTCCAATATCTTGGTGATAATACTCTTTCTTTTATAGCAGGCGGCATACTATTAAGTAAGGAAAATAATGCTGTAATTTCACCAAATCATGTTTTAATGGGAAGCAATAAAATGAGTCTAAAAGAAAAGTGTGTAGTAGTACAGCAAATATATAGAATATTTTGTGAATATTGTGAATAAAATTTATTGAAATATGTTCTTATCTTCAGGCGAGGTTATGGTTGTTGCTGCTGCTGTTATTAAATGAAAGAGGAAAGATGGGACCTGCACAAGTTAGGAGAAATTAAAAGAAGCAAACGAACATTAACAGAATATAATTAATCTAGGAACAGTTTAAGAAAGAAGAGTCAGAATATTAAGAAGGAAAGCTGTAATAATACCTTTAGAAGAAAGTAGGAGGCCCTAGTGACATCTGTTGACAGAAGTTTTGAGAGAGAAGGCACAATAATACGTAATAGAAAAAAAGATTACAACTTTAATAAAAAGGTAAGCGTTTGAATGGGGAAAAGTTAAAAAGAAATCAGTAAATCAGATAAAGATAAATCAAGGTGGTGCAGCCATGGTAGGAGAATATGGTTCAATTCTGTACATGTCTCTACAAAAGTAAAGCCACTCAGTTCATTGTGACTTTACTTAGGTAAGTCTTTCTAGGATTTCAGACTTTAAAGTCCATCATTAAAACTTAATGCAAAACAATAGAAGATCCCAATGAAAAGAAGGCTATAACTGATCAGCCTAATTGAAGAAACTAAAATTAAACAAGCAGTAAAGTTGAGAATGGGTAATAGGTGTGACTGAAATGCAAGAAGATAAAGATCAGTAAAACCTTTTCAACATGAAAGAATAATAATTTGAATACTAGTTTAGGTAGACACTTTAAGGATGAATTCTTGAAATATTGGAGAAAACTTAAATCTTAGCTCAAGCAGTAATGTGAACAAATAAAGAGAAGGGTAAAAATATCAGTTCTCTTGCTCAAAGAAGAATAACATTACCAATTGAAAGTAGATGAAACTACAGATATGTGAGATGTACAAATACTATTTTCTACAGACCGATGTTAGAATAAACTAAGTATATGCAAGACAGTTATAAATTTTGTGAAAGTAGGAGATAAAAGCAAGCATAACTGACTATAACAGCAAATCTACAAATCCAAAAGAACTAGGAAGCAAACAGTGATGAAATTTTGAGATGATTATACTGTGCCTTAGTATATAGAAAACCATTAAACATTATTCCAATCTGATACTCTTCTAAAGCATCTGTTGGTACTCCAGTATCTAATTATTTTATTAAAAATGTCTTATATTCTGTAACATTAATTGAATTAATTCTGTAACATTCAAAAAGGTCATTGGCAAGTAGGATTCTGAATTTGTGAGGAGAATTGTAATTTATGCAGGTGAGCAAAGATGAAGTGCTTGGGTGACTATGTCACGCTTAGCTCAGATGTGCTGTACTAAGCTGCACCTTTTCTCTCTTGCAGGTAGATTCTTTCAGGGAGCGAATCACAGGTGAAGTAAGTGTCTGATTTATGCTTGCAATTTCAGCTAATGCTTAGTGGTTCCAGGCAATTAAATTTGGTTCTGGTTCTCATGAAAGAGACTTTTCCCATAGCTCAGTTCTACCGGCCTCAGGAATCTGTGAGACTTTCGTTATTAACCTTTGGAAGCAGCTCAGCTTTCAAGGACTTTGTCTGTCTGGTGTTTTCTACTGATCCATACCAAGGCTTGGTCTTAGCCTTCCTTTTGTGGAATCAGCACTTTTATTAATAATTCATGCATCATAGCTGGCATTCTTTCTCTTTCAGGCTGAGGATCTAGTGGCAAATTTTTTTCCAAAGAAGCTTTTAGAACTTGATGGGTTCCTTAAGGTAAGAGCTGGTAGTCTCCTGCTTCTCCCTGGGCAACCTCTATTTCAAGAATGACACACTGTCAAATACATAATAAAAGTCTGCTATTGTTATTAGCTTTCAATACTGCATTGGATGCTGTTTGTGAGCATGGATACCTTATTCCTCTGGATATTCTTTCCTAGGATCCCATTCTGAACATTCATGATCTCACACAAATCCACTCAGATATGAACCTTCCAGTTCCGGACCCAATTCTGCTCACAAACAGTCACGATGGACTGGATGGGGTAAGGTTGGTCACCTGTTTGTAACATTTAATGGCTGATCAGAAAAACATAATTATAATAATTATACTTGCTGACAAGCTATGGAAAGA